GGCTAAAGGATTGCGGGTTTTGGCTAAAGCTTGATGGGAAAAGGTGTAGTCGGTAATTCCATGTGTGCTATTTCGTTAGCTCGGTTCGGGCGAATGTCAAATTCCTTTTAATTTGGTGATCAAACCACTTAAATTGTTGTCAAAACCATACTCCGAACTCTGCGACTACCAGTACCACTTGACATTTGTGGTCGCCCCGTCCTGGACCACACCTATCCTGTTGGGGCCTTGAGTAATTTAGAACTCTAAAGTTTAATGTTTCCTTTTTCCCGTTCAGTTAGTGCTTGTGGTGCCACAAACGTTAGTGTTTGCAGACGATAAAAACATGGAAGATAGTGACAAAACTTGAATATTCACTGGCATTTCAGAGAACGCTTAGTGCCGTTTATCAATGGTCGATCGAAACCGACGTCGAATTCAATGCACGTGGATGCGCGGCGGCATGCTCACTGCAAAAATCGGTTCCCGTGCTTGCTACGATATTAGCAACTTCCATATACCTCGAATGAGAAGGATCTCGTTGTCATCGTTCAAGTTGTTTCATAAACTGCCCCTGGGCGTCATCCGCAACTGCAAGATACGTTTTGCAAAAGCGGGTTTTTGGCAAACTGGAACCTATGCTATTCCCTCCTTTATCGTCAGCCTACAAACCACTCGCACATAGAATACGTCATTCAAGCGTGGAATCTCCGTGGATGTAACGCGATCGTAAGATTTTGGGGCGTTCACAAATAATAGCCACCAAGATGGTTAAAGGACTGCATTCCAAGACCTGCGAGAACCAATTTTCAACATTTTGTCCAAAATAACTTTTTTTTACTCTCTTTTTTATTTACTGAATATACAAATGTACAGTCAACTTTCAGGAAGGGGATTGCGGTCATACAAAGGCTGCCTGGGGAAATATAGAAATAGGGGAGACGGGCGGCGGTGGAGCGATTCGGACCCGGGACTCCCGGGTCACAATTTGGTGACCTAACCACTTGGCCACCACCGCCCACTGTTTGCTTTATTGTCCAACATTCGCCTCGGGGACATTCATCCAAGTTAGTGTTTCATAACTGCCGACTAGAATGCCGGCGTCATTAATTTGCCCTCAGAATGTTTAGTATTTGGAATTCCCTATCACTTCACGGTGTTTCAGTGCCCAAAATGAATTCTTTCAAGCACAAACTGAATAAGGCATTATCAGGTCTTAAATTAAGTGTTTTTGTTCAAATCTACCTATTACAAACTAACTGCATGAAATAAGGTAACCAACAGTAAGGTTTGACGAAAGTAAAACGTGATGTTCGTAGAATTGTCTACCCAACTATCAATTAGCGGTCAAATGGTCAATCATTACAATTTCGAGTGTTTTTTTTGATGATAATAAAGTCAAGTCGGGATGACCTCTGTGCGCTAAATAAATGATTATTTATTTAGATGAGGATATAAGAAACTGAAGAGAATACTGCAAGTACCTGCGTTCGTTGACTTGTGTTTGCCTAAGCTGTATGCGGTGCTCCTCTTTATGTCTAAAAAAAATCTATTCTGAGATCTAATTATTGGCATACTTTTGTGTATGGGTCCGTGCGTACTCTATGACGTCCCACTGCTATGATTGATTGTCTTACCTTTTGATTCGATCGATTTGTATTTGTGGTCCTACCTGACCTTATCCCGTTTCATGTTGGTCATGCGTTCAGTTTATGACCAGATTAGCCATCATTCATTCATTCTTGTCAACGTTTCGTCCCGATTTTAACTCCGCAGTTAAGTGACTTCCTCACGTACACTTACCACAATTCGCTGAAGTATCAACTCTAATGCAAAGCAGCGGGTACCACTGTCGTTTGTGAATCAATCGTTTTTTGTTATACTCTAGTTTGCGTCCATGGGTTTGATTCCTCCGGTTCCCACACAACTATGAGGGATCTCCAAATATTTAATTTATAATGGATTCGGATATGCTGTTGAATAATCCTAGTCAAAACGTTGTGAGAAATATAGGCAAATAAATAACTATTCATGTTTTGCATTCCTTTCCGAATTACTCATTCGTATCAAAATAACGATTGAATGATAGTAAAAAGTTACCGGTGAACAGGTTTCTGAGCTCCACTTGGCGTGAGTCAGTCGTTGTCTGTTGTGAGAATTATGTTTTTAAACCGTCTCTCACATACGTTGTTGTGGATTGTTTGCAAGGTTGTCCGTTAACTCTTCTTTTCATGGTTGACTTGTTTTCTTTTTAGCCTACTCGCCAACCGGAATACGTGGTCCAATCAAGTTTAATTTACAAGGCATCCACAAGGTATTTTATGTGGCGTTGGTTGGCTTTCTTCGTCTGTACTTACTCATGGTTCCTCCGTATTGGACAACTGCTATTCGTAAGTCATACAGCTGTTTCAAATGTACTCTTGCTCATTATATCATAATCAGGTTGATCTGTAACTCTGAGCTACTATTGAAGATCAGCATTACTTGATAAAAGTATTTTACTCTCCCCGACAAACTAATCCGATATTTTGAGAATGAAAAAATTCCTTGATTCGATCGTAATTAATTGGATGCTGTTTTTCCATAATACTACCCTTGAATCAGTGGTCAAGATGATGTGTACTTATTTACCATAGAGTCTAGTGTGTTGTGAAATCTTGTGATCGGACTAAGACAAGTACCAACCACTGCTTCGGCGACCACAATATGACCAATAATTCCGGGACATGTCTTTGAAATGTCTCACTGTTGTTGGTGTTTTAGTCGGCGCATGGATGCGCAAATATTTATGAATGGATCAGGGAGTGACTGTGTGCGTGAGAGAGAGCTGGGTTCAAACTACTGTACAAAATTAAAACTTTAACGGATGCCCAATAAGATGTGACGAATCCCATGTGTACTCTTTTCCCAGCCACCCACAGACTACAGGTTCTTTTCACGTCAGCTTCAGCAAATCTGTTCTTTGTATTGTTCATACTAGTTTGTTTGGCTCAACCAAATCTAGTCGAAAGCAGCTTGTTCTGACTTTGTCTTTGTTTTTCCCGGAACCAGTCATGGATAGCGCTGCTCACCTTGGTCATCCTTTAGTGCATTTCATGTCGATCATTTTTACCACTGTTTCTTGAGTGTTTTTCGGCGAGTCACTCATTATTGCTAACGCAATGAGAGATTAGTTCTGGTGAACCATTACAAAATCAGTCAGATGTCCTATTTATCGATGATAATTATGTTCTTCTCATCCTTTGAAGATATAAAGTGATTTCCAGTAATTCAATTATTTCCCTTGTTTTTTATCTACATATCCTGGTGTGTTAACTAGCAGATAGAGCGGATTACATAATCATGAGAATCTACTGTTCGGTTATGGAAACCAGCAACCTAAGTCTCGGTAATTGGAGAGATGTGCCACATCCCTATCCCAGAAGGGATAGGGATCGTATTGAGCCGGCCAACAACAAAACTGTCTATCTTTTATGTTGGATAGTAGTGGCAAGATTTTAACCTCGGAATTCGGAGCACGCTAGTGATAGCAAGGGTCACCGTCGTGCAAAAAGTAAATGAGAAATTCGTTTAGTATGACAGAACTCAATCACTTACTTAAATAAATTAAACAGTCTTCCTTGATGATTTCTCGCAGCGTGTTGGTTATGATGTTAAATGATGATGTCTATCACACAGCACATTATTATTGAAATAAACAGCATTGATTGGTCTCAAACTCTTCAAGTTCACGAAGGTGGCTAGCGAGCGAATCTACTTAAGAGTGGAGACTGGGATGAGTAGAATAATATTTCGGCGAACAAAAAAATCACAGTTTAACCATGCATTTGAAAGGTTGCTATGTGATGCAGCTCACAGTTTACAGTCGATTTGACTTCACGTTTTACACAACTGCGTATGTGAAATGAATTATCCGGGAATTCTTACAGACTAAATAGCTACATTTTTAATCAATAGTTCGACGAAAGATATAGAGGAAAAATACCATACACGATCCCATCTTGCCCATGCTTCCTCGTTTTTCTGAAGCCACCTACACACAGTTAACTCGTCACTGCAGTAAAGTTATAAGTGCAAATTTTGCCTAAGTGCTAGTACTTAATCTTTTGATCTCTGTACAATCGAAATGTACTGCATTCGTCTTTTACAGATTACCATTCCTTTTCGGTCTGCGTTGAGTTTCACCGCCTTGTTTAAACCCTCACCGATCTACCTGAAACTAGAAATTGATCAAGATACGGTAGGTTCCATAGATTGTTTTCACGTGCTTGCTTTGTGCATTGTTTTCGCGGCAACATTCACGAAATCAGTCAGGTGCTTCTGGGGAATCCCTATCCAATCATTCTCATGATACTTATTGTTGTAAGATGTGTTTCTGTTAGATATGTTCTGGCCACGATAATATCGTGTCAGATCTTTTATTTTATGTCATGTCCTGTTGTCATTGTTGATTATACGTAAATCATAAAATTATACTTTAGTTCTTCATTTTATTGTTGCCTTCTATTTATAGTCTATTCAAGCAGCTAATGTCAGGAAACTGGGGACAGATTAAAGTAACATGTGCCATCCCGAGATTATTTTTTATTGATATGAATGTGAAACTCGTTGCCGTCACTTGAAATGCACTAATTCCAGATGTGATTACAACGTGGCGTTTGTTCTGTGATTCGCACCTGTCATCATTCGGTTTCTATCGCTCTTCTCACCGCTAGGGTTACCTGTTCTACAACAAGACATTCTATCAGGACACCGTGATCAGTCGAATACGACGCCTTTGGTCAGATATACGCGCCTCGCGTATGGCGTTTGATGCAACCCCGTCCAAAGGTATGCTGGATAAAGCGGCAGCTCGACCACTACATCGAATCTGGTCCTATGTGTTTCGGGGTTTCTTGGCATCGGTCCTGTTGCTCCTATTCTGGCCACCGGTGTGCCTGATCGTGTCTTCCCTGTCTTTACTGGTCGGTTTGACTCTTCCAATAATAGTTCCATTTGCAAGTTTGACCTCTCATTTGCTGGGGCTGCTCTTCTGGGATGCATATAAACCCGGTGAGTCTAATCTGCTTACCCATCTTTGCCTATATGGTTATCTTTCCATCGGTCGATGAGTTGTGTGAAAACTCAGAACAGTCTGACTACTGACTATGCATAATTAATAAAGTAATCATTTCAAGGTTTTGATTATTTATTCACGGGATTTTTTGACGATTTATGTCGATCTGGTGATTTATGGTACACTTGCTATATCCGTATGAACATCACTCAAAAATTCCTCTGGGACTTCTGTCTCATTCGCAGAAGAGCTGTTGGATGAAAACAGCCCAACTGCAGCGTATATTACGCGAAATGCTATTGCCCCATCCTGTTTCTGTTCAATTTCTAAGTGATAAAATAACCTAGATCTATAACAACAAAGACAAAATTCACTATTGTGAATGGAAAACAAACGGATTTTGGATTGCGATACTACTAAAGTGACTTATCTTAGGACATTCCACATCTTAGGACGTGTTCTTCTGGGTGTGAAATACTTACTATCCCACCCGATAAAGATAATCAATATAGCCGGATTTTTGCATAACATTCCGATCTTTATTATTCATGACTGGCCCAACATTCCAGTACTCTTCTGAGTAAGTTCCGTACTGTTTGAACGTCGAAATTATTTCCCTCTATTGATTCATACCTGTGGACGATATGAAATACCTTCCCACACACGTAAACCCAATAGACTCCAGGTACTTTCCATTGGGTTCGAATCGGGGCTAGGAGATTACCAGTCCATTTTCTTGATGTTTCAGTGCAGTAGCCTCGTTCAAGTGAGATGGAATGTGCGTATAGAGGCACCAGAAAATCATAGTTTCAAATCAGTTATCATCATCATATGCATACAAAAACTAAAAGTAAGTCCATGCTGCATCGGTCGTCGCGCAGGATAATCAGGACTACGCTGCCCATTGCATGGGGTGGGTAGTGATAAGTGGGCTGCTCAGACATCCCAACCTTTGTTAAACTCTTTGTATTCTATACCCAACCTTCGTCTTTTGACCCTTTTTCTGATCCGTCGTAACATTCCATCGTACAAATTGTTCATCACTCGCCAAAGCGCGTTGTCGAGCAGCCCTGTAAATAGTTTGCCAGTAGATAAAGTGCATATTTTGAAGCCTTGTCAACCTCTCAATCTGGGGACTCTTATGCAGGTAAGTCAACAAGCGTGTCTGGCGCGTACAATGAGCCCTTTGGAAATTAATGTCTGTTGTGTATCGCAGACACGAAAGCCTGATCTTAGTGGCCTGAGCCACCGGGTCTGTCCTCGAAGTACTTTCTCCACAAATCAGGTGACGAAGAAGTCCGTTCAGCAGACCACGTGGCGTAGTTATTGTACATGCTAATACAGCCGCACTACTCGATTGGATCTCCCTCAACAATCGCTTATGTGCGATGCAGCCCCAGGGGTCTATCGGCATCCGGAAGGGAAGCAACACTAAAAGGTGTTTGTTCATCACTTCAGCGTATGCACCGAACAACTGCAGTTCTGACGCACAAAAAGACGAGTTTTATGATGAACTCACCGAACTCATTCGGTTGAGCTCCGATATAGTTGTCCTCACAGGTGATTTTAACGCGCAAGTTGGAAAACAACATTTCGAAAGCTTGCCTAGGCGTTCATTATGTTCTGTTCCGCGAACGAACAAATAATGGCGATCAACTTCTTCAGTTCTGCTCCGATCATGATCTGTTCCTATTCAGTGCAAATTTCTGGCACAGCTCTCAACGGACAGCAATGTGACGCTTCAGTTCAACTGGCACAATAACTCAACTCGACCACATAGCAGTAAGCCATCGTTGGCGCGGCTCAGTGCAAAACTGCAGGTCGTATTGGACCACCTGCGTTAAATCTGATCATGCGTTAGTTTTAAGGCAGTTCACTCTCCAATTCACTGATTACAGAATCCCCACCAAACTCCATTGGCAGATCATTGCTTATTTGACCCAGCCGCTCGTGCCCGTTTTGAATCAGAGCTTGGCATAGAGCTAAACACTCTGCGGGGTGGTATTTTAGATGAACAATGGGATCAGATTGGACGAGCAATGCATTCCGCAGCAAAGGTTGCTTGTGTATCTGAAGCGGTAGACCGCCCGAGGCATTGGATATCTGATGATTCGGTAGCACTGATGGAGAAAAAGCGTCAAATCCCGACCGACCGGGATCAAGACAGGGGTAGGTGGCGTCTGTAACGTCAGCTCTAGAAGAGCCTGAAGAAATATCGCGAGAACTGGTGAGCAATGATAGCTAGTGAAATGAAAGTAGCAGCTGCATCAGGGACTAGTCAACTGATACGCAACGCGGGAAGTCGGCGAATCACAGTTAGTGAAACAGTCTGCGACAAAAGTGGACAGGCTATTCACAATAAGGAGCAACGGCTTGACCGGTAGGTGAGGTACTTCAACGAACAGTTCAGATGGCCAGGTGCTAACCAGACTATCTCGTCTGTCGTAGATGAGGCAGTGTCATGTGAACCCTTTACTGCAGTAGAAGTACGATCTTGTAACCAAACCCTGAAGAAAGGACCGGACGGACTTCCTCTCACTGTTCTCAAGAGGGAGGGCAATGACCGATTTGCTGCGTAACATCTGATCATAAGAGCGCATTCCATCATCCTGGAGCGAATCCCTGATCGTTCCAATTTTCAAAAGGTGATCTCACAACGACTGCGCAAACAACCGTGGAATAAGTTTAATTCCAATTATCATGAAATTAGTAGCCTCCGTCATATTTCGACGTATGACTCCTTTCAGGGAGACAACTATCCGCGAACAACCAGCAGGATTTCGACCAGGTCGCGGTTTTATCGATCAAATATTCACTCTGCGTCAAGTCCTCGAAATACGCCATACTCACCGTCGGCCAACGGTTGTCGTGTTCCTTGATCTAAAAGAAGCCTTCGAATCAGTTGACCGCAAGTTCCTTATGGGTTCGCTCGTTCTCAAAGGAATGCCGTAGACGTATGTGCACATACTGAATTCATTTTTCTCATATACCTCTGGCAGCGTAAGGGTCTACGGCGAGCTGAGTAGGTCGTAACTAGCGGCGGTGCTCGTCAAAGGTGCCCCATTTCGCTATCTCTGTTAAACTTCGTCATAGACAAAATACTGGAGAACGCGCTAAGTGGTCTTCCAAACGTAGGTATTGAATGAGCAGTTGGAGAAAACTGTGCGACCTAGAGTACACTGACAATATCGTTTGCCTGTTCGAGTCTATGAATGATGCACAAAACGCACTTGACAAACTAGCAATTCCTGTTGCTGCATTTGGGGTGCGCCTTGCATCTTCGAAGTGCAAGATGATAATGCAAGACTGGGTGTCACTGAGTCCCGTTCTGAAACTAGATAACCACCGGCATTTCCAAGGTTCGAGCAGCGTACGCAGGACTAGACCAATTTTGGCGACAATATGATGCTTCACGGAAGTTGACAAGTCGTGTATGCTGCGCAGCTGTACGATCGGTTCTGCTTTACGGTTGTGAGATCTTGAATTGTCGTTTTCGACCACGAATGCTTACGTAGTCCGGCCAAAGTGGGATGGAGTGAGTGGTTAGTAACTTAGAAGTAAGTCGCCGGGCGTTTGGGAATTCGTCGAACATGAACTCACCAGTGCATCGAATCCAGCTCAATAGGTTCCGTTGATTAGAATACGTTTTGCATATGTCCAACGGTCGCCTACCGCATCGCGCCCTATTTGCAGTGGCATGAAGAAGTGCACAGATCGTTTAGGTGGAATGGGTATCTCTGGTCTTCCAGGTTGGGGTACAGAAGACTGCTTTACTGGATGGTTGGAGACACTGAAGG